CCCTCCCGGCCACGTGATTCTGGCATCGTAAGCGGCGAGACTGCATTCGAATGCTACGAGTATACGCGGGGGTGTCCTTAATAGTCTCAAACGCTCGGTGCTCTTTTGGGGCCAAGCATCAGAGCGAGATAATAGTAGCGGATATCTCTCTCCGTCGGGGATATTTTTATTCGCGAGAGTTCCTGATACCAACAGCTGCTATTACCTGCTGCCGTTCGCGAAATGTGATTAAAGTCGAAGTTGTCGGATATTCAGCCACCGCTCGTCTACCTTCGGATCCGACTCGGAGGGGAAAACATATACGTAGCCTATTGTATTAACTAATGTTCCGTTTTAATGAAACGCCCTGGAAACGGTATATGAAAAAGAGAGAGAGAGAAAGAGAGAGAGAGAGCTTTCTCAGTGAGTGCACCTATGTATCCGACGGAGTTCTATTTCGCGCACGTAGTCGCGGCCGAGGACGAAATAAATCGGCGGCCACGGTCGATTTGATTTCGATCCCGGAATCAGGCGAGAGCCGGCCGAGAGGCTCGCGTTAATTACCAGCAATTTCGGCGTTTCGCCGCTCTTTAAACACCGCCTTGGGAATTAAGCGCCGCGCTCTGTATAGTCGATAGTCGACAGAATGAGCGGCGTAGGAGGGGGAGGAGATAGACGCTCGTTTCTCGCAGCCGTTTACAATTTATAATCCTATTATAGGATTGGGGATACTCACCGGTATGCGCGACTCCGAATAGACGCGAAAGCCCCTCTGAAAAGGTACCCGGAGATCTGAAACGAGAAAAGAAAGGGGGACTTGAGCACGTCATAGGTAAGGCGAGCACTCGATCGTTAATTGCGGCCGTGTTAATTGTGCGACTTATAATCACGGTTGTTTGTCTGGAAGGCGAGTGCACTCGTGACTTCGCAACAATATTACGATGTTTCGCGCCTGCGAAGCGGCGGAGGACTCCGTTGTTCGCGCCCTAATAGTTCTCTCATTATTTCATCGCTGATTTTCACGCTTATTTCACCACCCGCCGCTGCTCATCGACGTTGCTCAACGTTCGCGTCAATTTCCCGATCAATTCGAGCAACGTATTTGAAACGTGAAAAACACACACACCTTTCTACGTAAAATAACATTTAACAATCGCGCTAAACAGGACGATTAACGCGGGAATAAGGAAAGGTAACGTTAATTCCCGGATATTTTTAGGAAGGTACATCGGTATTGCCGCGCTATGCCACGCGTGAGAAGGGAGCGGCGGCGCGTTAATTGATTTTTCATTCGACAAAGCCGCCAGAAGCTCTTCAACGCCCCGCAGACGGAAAACGAGCAGCCTGCGGTGGAAATCCTCGTGAAAACAGTCGGCGCATCCGGCAACCGGCGGATCTGAAACCCTCTCTCAGCGGAAATCTTTCTCCGCTGGAATATTTAGCGACCGGGGCGAATCGCAAGGGATGCAATGAAAATGCACGGGTAAAATCGCTCTCCTTCCGTCGACGGGAATTTGAAAGTCTCTCTCTCCCTTCCTCCCTCCCTCTCTCTCTCTCTCTCTCTCGAAAAACACTTTAATTTCGCGCGAAGCGGCGCCGCTGTTTTCGCAAGACCTACTGTCTACCGTCGGTTCGCGCGCCGTGTCAATTCCGTCACGCGACGACGAGAGAAGACCCCGTCCCACCGTCGAAAAGTGTACGACTAGTGCGTGTATAAACGTCTCATTCAATTTACAAGCAGCTATTTCACGGCAGTTCGCGCGAATGATAATTCATGTTCAAACGTGGTTCGCTTTAACGAAGTCGCGGGCGAGCGGGGGTACGCGGAAGTTCCGGCAAAATTAATTCTCTCTCGCACGACCCTTGTAGTCCCAAAACGGAAATCGTGAGTACCCGGAGTGACTAAACGGGAGGCGCACGTGCAATTCATTCCGCTCATTCATTATAGATTTTAATACCAGTCGCGTCGGGATCTCATAATAAATTAAATCCCGTGACAGACGGAACGGTCCGGACGGCGCGCAGTCGAATCCGCGGAACGCGATGCGATCCGGCGGAATCGCGGATCGCGTAATTTTTGGGAATAAATCTCGTGATTTTATCCGGCGCGACGCGCGATGCATGCGCTCCGTAGTCAATGAGCTAATTTTAATTTCGCCGTGCTGCGGCGTATCGTGTTTTAATGGAGCTCACGGCTGAGAGAGAGAGAGAGAGAGAGAGAGAGAGGGAGAGAGATACATTAGAAATAAATATTTATATTCTACGTTGCAAATTGCGCGACGTATAACAGCGTATAAAATTATACAGCATGTATTATGTATTATAACGCGCAATGTGATATTTACGGAATTCATAATACGCGTGTGCGTATAATTACGGAATCTCAGGAAAATTTTGCTAATTCGCGCGATTAACAGAGAGAGAGAGAGAGAGAGGGGGGGGGGGAGAGAACTGCAGGTGGATTTTATTAATTCAGAAAATACGAGCACACTTCGCGAGCGGTGAAACGAGCTGGAGGCGCGCGATTGCAGGAGATCGCGTCGCTAGAAAAGTCGCGTGTATGTGGAGCTACGCCAATGTGGATTCGCCGGCAAACTCAATGTATGTGCCATGTGTTCACATGGCTGTGACGTTCACACACTCCCCGACATCCCGGAACATATCCCAGGGGGGCACGCGAGGCCATTAAGTGGCACCAGCTAGTTTTCCCGTCGTTTCTTCGCGATACCGCTGCCTGGCAATATATTTCCCTCCCTTTTAATTACACGCATTACTTACGCTCGTTAATTAGCCTCTGGCGGAGGATCAGAAAGCCGGGAGGGTGAGAGTGCCCAGACATTGGATGCAAGCATTTGCCTCGAGTCCCTCTGCGCTCCCCCGCTTCTCCCCCTTCTCACCCCCGCCGCGGAAGGTCTCTTCGCTGCTCGATTATAAGGTCGATCTCACGGGTTTTTTAACAAATTAGAGAAAGCCAGTGTGCCCGTATCTAGCTGGAGGAATAACAACGATCCCGATTGCGAGCGGAAATAAAATTGAGCGTCTGTGCGAGAAAGGGGAGAGAGATCCGTTTCGGTCTCTCGCTCAAACAACTCATACGACGCAAACTTGATTGCGAATCGATCGATAGATTTTGCCGGAACAGTCTGTCTTCGATAGATCGAGTGAGAAGTTGATATCTTCCGATACAGAGAATAAGAAAGAGAGAGAGAGAGAGAGAGAGTTTAGGATGTCGTTTAATTTCGCCCCGACGTGATTATCGATACGTTGGGAGCTAACTTCGGGATCCTCATCGGCCAACTTTGAATAAATCCATAAGTATTTTTATACTTCGAGGAAGGGGAGTTTTATACTTTCAATCCGATGAGTATCGCGAGGAACGGTCGGACGAGGGCAGAAACTCAAGTTTCTCCTTCCGCGGTACTTCTTCTCCCCGCCCTCCCCCCTCGTCCCGATTCTTCTATCGTATCTGAGAAAGGCGCGGCTTCTTCTTCGCCTTAAACCCCGAAGAGAAGCCGACGCTACCCCTCGGAGAAGTAGACGACAACGAGGAGAGGAAGAAGAATAAGATCGTCGGTAAATCGTCGGCGGAAAATCGGTCCTCGGTGACTTTTATACGGCGACATTTCGTGGTGTATTACTATGATATGCCGAGCGCCAGGTACGGACGCTTGAAAGGGAATAAGGAGGGGAGAGGGCGGGCGGTGCATTCTTCTATTTGCATCGAAGCTTACTATTCTCCTTTCTTCGCGGTCTCAATTACCGATGCGCCATTGTCGGCTGCTTTTTTCAATTTGCCGAATGGCACTCCAACGTATAGTTGGCGAACGGTAGTAAGCTACTTATAAGAATAGGACGGATCAAGGATATATAGATTGTCTGCGGAGGCGTTTGGAAATCGCACGGTTCACCGAACGTCAAGCGGTTCAACTCGAGCACATACAAACGCCCGTAATATAGTATGACTTTAGAGGGAAATATAGAACTAAGTGTATCTCTATCTTCCACGCTTAAACCGATCCTCGAGTTCCGGCAATGTTATTTAAATTCAATTCCCGTGACAAATCCTTTATCCAATCGCCAAATTAATTAGAAAGCAATTTATTGATTCCATTTATTATATTGCCTTAGCCAAGAGTCGAACCCGGACATTCCCCATTTTTCAAGCAGAATGCCTCTACCTATACGGCTATCGAGGCTTCGACAGTATTTCTCGCAAGAATCGATGTTTGTAATTTCGAGAGTAACTCCCTAAAGTTCAATCAATGTATTATCACTGAAAAGCAGCCAGTAGTCACTAGTGTAAAATTTCACTGCAAAACTCCAGTAAAAATTCATGAATACTCACTGATTATGGACAGAATACACCGTTTCACTGATTCAATTAGTGACATATTCACTGACTCAACTTAAGAGAGTACGAATGTATACACGAGATAATATAACCATATTCTTCCGTTCGTGCTACATACGAAATAGAATTAAGTGATCCGAGAAGCGTTCTCTCTGTGACGCGTCACGTTTATCTCAGTTCTCCGGTTTACCGGACCGGCGAAAAATCGGCGTAACACCGAGCGCGCGTTAATCTTCCTCTGAGATATTCCGGCGCGTCAGCGTCGTATAATTCATAATTTGCCTGTGACTATGCGTTCATATCGAGAGGATGCTTCATGAAGACGCATGCACCGGGTTACCCGGGGATACGAAGTCGTGGATCCGCGCTAATAATTTTACAAGTTAGTCGATAAATTTCCTAGGTAAGGAGGTACCGACTGTACCGTGAAAATCGTAAGCGTAGAAACGCGCGGGGATTGACCGTATATATCACAACGCGCGCGCGGGGAAAAAACTTTACCACCCATTGCTGGAAAATATAGCACCCCACGGTATAGGGAGGATCCTGCAGCGCGAGCGCCTCGGCCACTCGCGGTCTCATGTGTGTGCGTATAACTACTGGTTATATAGTACAAGTGAGTGCGATAAAATATAAGTAGCGCCGGAGCGTGCACGGTTTCGACGTCCGGGACAAAATAAAATATCGCCGCGTATCTATTACATAATTCGTGGAGTTTTTTGCGGAACGGAGCCGCATCTTTGAAAGGGGCTTCTTCCTGCTCGATGTTTTGTCCGGAGGAGAACCTGGTTGGCGGTACAAAGCGACTTCACGCAATTTGCGTGAAAATTCCGCCGAAAAAGCGCCTCGTTCCGCGATGACATTAATCAACAGGATGTGGAGAGGCCGAGGCAACTCTCTTTCTCCTGACGGAGCACGCGAAAATATACATTCCCGTATCTGCGAGCTGCCTGCCGCGACACAAGCGCGAAACTCGTCGCAAAAGAGGCCACGTGCGAGCGTGTCTTCGTGCGCGCATTTGCTACGCTTTCATTCGCACGTCCCATTACGTCAGTCGTAATCAGATCGCGCTTCGCCTTTCAGAGGCCTGACGAATATATGGAAGTGTGTCAACGACGTGTCGCGACGACTCCGCGTGGGTACATTTTTATATCGACGCCTCTCGTTTCACTTTCGCACGGGGCCTACACGTCATTCGCGTTCGCTCGTTCGCGTTACGTCGAGTTCGCTCGCTTTCTCTCTCCGTGAACTTGAAATCGAATTATACACGCTTACGCAGCCAAACAATTATGCAATTCGTCGTGATCCCGGCCGCGCGTATCGATACCTGCCAATGTGAAGCCGAAGGTATCGGGAACGGACAGCAGATTCGTTCCAATCGGCCTCTTCGCGATGCAAATAGGACCGGCGGTATTTCAATCTTTATTTAATTTCCATGCGG